GCAACTTATCAAGGCCCAAACAACTTAGCAAGACCCTGTCTCAAAATAAAAAAGGGCTGGGAATGTGGCTCAGTGGTTAAGGGCCCTGGAATCAATCCCTGGTACCAAAAAGAAAAAGAAAATTTTAGAACATCGTGCCATCAGTTTAATGTCTCTTCATTACCTGTGTCTGTGTGTGTTGGTCTAATGTTTTCATTTGTAACCTTGGTTATTTCTAATTTAATTTTTTGTATCCATAAGTAATTAGAATGTTTAATATTGAAAGAAAACAAAGTAGATGTATTTTATTTCACTTCCCCTAGATGTTATTATTGCCTTTTATAATTTTTAAATTTATTTATTTATTTTAATTAGGTATATATGACAGCAGAATGCATTGACTCATTGCACACAGATGGAGCACAACTTTTTATTTCTTTGACTGTACACAACATAGTTGCACCACATGTGCAGTCATACATGTACCTAGGGTAATGACGTTTATCTCATTTTACCATTTTTCCTACCCCCATACCCCCTTCCCATCTCTCCTTTCCCTTTGCCCAATCAAAGTTCCTCCATTCTCCTTATGTGCGCCCTCCCTCCCCCATTTTGGGTTAGCATCCACTTATCAGAGAGAACATTTGGCCTTTGTTTTTTGGGAGATTGGCTTACTTCACTTAGCATAATATTCTCCAACTTAATTCATTTACTTCAAATGCCATAATTTTATACTCTCTTAATGCTGAGTAATATTCCATTGTGTGTATGTACCACAGTTTCTTTATCCATTCATCTATTGAAGGGCATCCAGGTTGCTTCCACAGTTTAGGTATTGTAAATTGAGCTGCTATAAACATTGATGTGTCTGCATTACTATAGTATACTGATTTTAAGTCCTTGGGTATAGACCAAGGATTGGGATAACTGGGTCAAATAGTGGTTCCATTCCAAGTTTTCTAATCAAGATGGAGTAGTAGTAGCATAAGGATTGACAAATAGATCAGTGGAACAGAATAGAGGCCAAAAGTAGACTTTCATTTATTACTGTCATTTGATATTTTACAAACAGACCAAATATTACAATGGAAAAAGGAAAGTATTTTCAACGAATAGTGTTTGAAAACTGGATATCCATATTTTTTAAAAAAGGAACATCTATCTCTATCTCACACTACAAACAGATATTAAATTTAGATGACCTTGTATACAAACCCATAAAGCTTTTGTAAGAAACTACAGTAAAATATCTTTGTGACTAGAGGGTAGGCAATTTTTAAAAAATATTTTGTTTTTAGTTGTACATAGTTTATTTATTTTTGTATGGTGATGAGGATCTAACCCAATGCCTCACGTGTGCCAATTAAGCACTCTACCACTGAACTACAACACTTGCCAGGCAGGTGTTTTTGAGAATGCAGAAAACAATAACCATGGAAGAAAAAATTACTAATCAAACCTCAATTGTAACTCTTCTACATTTTTGATAAGACTGTAAAGTGGTACACTTTGGGAAAAGCCTCATAGTTTCCTATAAAATTACAAATACATTTACCCCAAGATCTAAGAGAAAGAAAAGCATATGTCTACCAAAAGAAAAAAAACACAAAATATGTTCATATTGTAACTATTCAAAATATTCAAAATTCAAACAATCCAGATGTATCTAACAACAAGAGAATGAATAAACAAACTATAGTATATTCATATGATAGAATCCTCAGCAATGAAAAGAATGGAAATAATGTTGATTGCAACATCATGGAGGAATCCCAAAATATTGTATTGAGTAAAAAAAAAAATACTTCCCATTAAAGAGTACAAACTATATGACCCCATTTTTTTTGGAATCATGTAAATAGAATCATATGTCAGACACTAATCTTATATTTTCTTTTATCTTTTTATATACTAATTTTTCATGGGAAAAATGTAGTGGAAAAATAATCAGAACAATGTTTTCCTCTAGATATGAGTGGTGCCATATATTAACTGGGAAGGAAACATAAGAAAATATTCTGAGGTGACAGAAATGTCCCATTTCTTGATAGCCAAAAATCTGAGTTACATAAGTGTACACATTTGTAAAATATCTTTGGATGGAGCACTTAAGATTTGTGCATATTTAGCCAGGCTGGTACATGCCTATAATCTCAGACTTGGTCAACTGAGGCAGGGTACTCATAAGTTCAAGGCCAGCCTGGGCAGATTAATGAGACCCTATCTCTCTTTTTTTCTTCATATATTTATTCTCTTTTCAAAAATGTTTTGGTCTCCTGCTGTATCTCAGAAATGTACTAATAGCTGCTTTTAAGTTACAATATACAAAATAACAATTTATTTCTTGGAGAAAATCTTGGTGATTACCATTAAAAAATGAAATTTTGAGTTCCCAAAGGCTTTCTTTTTGTTAAGTCTTTGAACTTTCTCATGGCACACATGTAAGGCTGCCTGTGGTACTCTAGCCTCCAAATAGACATAATTGCATTTATAGTTTATAGAGAAAATACAAAGTCAAGTTCTGAAAATAGCCTTAAAAGAAAGTGACCTTTGCTTATAGAAACATCAAAAGCAAATTGGACTGTGCAATCAGAGCCATGAGTTTTAGGAAAACTACTTTCCTTTCACATCTTTTGTGAAGATTCTTTCAAGAATGCCATACCCATGATCATGTAACATTATTATAATTGTGAAATAACATTATTACATTCGTAAATTAACATTATCCAATAAAAGGCACATCTTTAAATATTAAGAAAATCTAAAAATCAAAATAGAAGTAGAGAATACATTAAAAATCAATCACTTAATTTGTAAACCTTGAGAAAATAACAGCGTATTCCAGTTTCTTCAGAGGCTTGTAAGCTTTTTGTAAGAGTGGTCAGGAAGTATAGAACAACAAAATGGAAGACAGGACTTGGAAACAAGGCCAACATTAATTTAAGAATTTACAACTTACTTTCTTTTTTTTTTTTAAATGAGCCAGAAGTATTCTTTTATAATGTTGATTCAGGTCAGCATCTTATTATGAAAGAATACTTCTGGCTCAAAAGTGATAGATATTGCAACCTGATTCTTCCTACTAATCTAGCATAATGGTTTCTTTCAGTAATAAGTGTATCTTCATTAAGTGCTAGTAAATTTTAAGCCACCAGAAATCTTTCAGTTATGATAAGTACTTGGTTGTAATTACAAATTTCAGAGTCTGAATATTGGAAAAAAATCCAAGAAAAAAACTTTTTTGAGGGAGGGCCTATAGTAGAGAAAATAATGTTCTAAACCTGTTTTATTAAATGAAATATCCCACTACCCTTAAATCAATTTCACTGAAGGTATTTGAGATGGGTGAGAGGAAGTCAATAGGATTTTCTGCTACTAGTGTAACATCTATGTGAAGAGTTATGATGTTACTCCTAATGAAGAAAACACATTTCATGGGATTCCAACTTTAAAATTGAATCCTTGCACTTTCAAAAGTTTGAAACTCAATTCAAAATGAGTTGAGTTTTAAAGGACTTGGTCATATGGTCCCATTAATGAAAGCTAACAATGGTATCGTATAATACTATAATACCCAAACTCGAAGAATAAAGACTTCATGGGTAAAAAGGAATATATGGAACAGACCCTATCTCAAAATGAAAAATAAAAAGGGCTGGGGATGTAGCTGAGTGGCAGAATGCCCCTGGCGCTTTGATCCCACTGCAAAAAAAAAAAAAAAAATATATATATATATATGCATTTCATTGTAACTTTTACCTTAAAGAAAAAAAAAGAACTATAACAAAATACTGAATTTTAATTAGTGACATGTATTTAAGGACAAGAATATTTATATAAATATGGGTTTATGGATTGATAGATGAACAGATATGTGAAAAAGCAAGTATAGACAGTATTCATGCTAGAATTCTGATGGTGGACATACAGACTCCTGTATGTTTGAAATTTTTTATAAAATGGGGTGATAATTATAAACTTCAGGATACTAGTACATGGGATAGGAAATAGGAAATAGGAAATAAATACACAGGTGGATGCAAAGGTCGATATTATTCCAGCCCAATGGTGGAATGACATTCACAGATATTCATTTTACTATTGTATCTCATAACTTAAATATGTGTTAAATACATTCTTCCTTATATAATATTTCATGCAATAAAAATAATTTGAGGGCTGGGGATGTGGCTCAAGCGGTAGCGTGCTTGCCTGTCATGCGTGCGGCCGGGTTCGATCCCCAGCACCACATACAAAACAAAGATGTTGTGTCCACCGAAAAACTAAAAAATAAATATTAAAATAATAATAATAATAATTTGAGAGGAGTACATCAGAATTTGAGGTCTGTTAATCAATAATAATAATGAAGTACTATTTGTTAAATAGGAAATAATTCCCAGAAAATTATTTCTATGTATTACAGTTCACTTGGACACAAAAATAGTACATCTACATTTGCTGATTTGAATCTTTTCATTTTATTTTTCCAGGTTTTGACCTTTGATTCCATATACAGTTCTTTCTCATTTTAATGCCTTTCTTTTTGAGTTGCTAAATATATTCTGAACCTAAAACTTCTCTTACAGGCAAAAAGTATTATGCTCTATATAATGCATATTGTACCTGTCCTCCCTCTGGGAGTAGAATGTCTGTTCTTCCTTTGGGGAAAATTGTAAGCATCCTTAAAATTAAAATTGTTTTTATACAATTTGTAAATAGTTATTAATCCCCATTTCCTATGGCTCACCCAAATGATGTAGGAACAAAAGCGATTGATAGATGGCAATGGAGAGACTGGGAAGGGACTTGACAATGGGTTGCACAAAGGGCTTTAAGTAAGTTTCAATGACATCACCACTGGGTTGGAAGAAGTCACCTTTTGTGAAGAGAATTTAGTTTAAGTGCAGAACAATATAAATACACTATGCCCACATATAAAACTTAGTAAACATTTCATTGGCGATACCATGATATGAAACTTTTAGGTTTTAATTTTTTTTCATGTTCTATTTATACAGGAGGCAGATAGCGGGGAGGAAGAATGCCGGTCACAGCCCAGGAGGTATGTGTATTCATTATATAATATTTTTTTATAGAAATTGTATTTGGTCTTGTCAAATTAGTTTATCCTGGATTCCTAAGATGCTTCATTGATCTTTCAAAAATGGGACTGCTTTAAGAATCCAATTACTGACTCAGAAATATTTAAAATGATTGATTGTTTTAAAAGATGCAGACTCAGTGGGAGAGAGTTCTTCTGTAGCATGCACAAGGCCCTAGGTTGTATCTCCACACCATTGCTGCAAAAAAAAAACCAAAAAATCATTTCTGTTATTTCATTTAAATTGTCTTTAAGTATTCCCACAAGAGTGAGCCCTGGTAAATTCTAGATAGTCATTTAAATATTAACAAAACTTGTATCCTCTAAATTCAATCAGTGAGCCATTTCACATGATACAAAAAATGAATACAATATGCGTGCTCATTGTAAAAACCTGGCTAAAGGGAATGTGTCTTTTTTTTGATAGAGAATTTTTTTAATATTTATTTTTAGTTCTCGGTGGACACAATATCTTTGTTGGTATGTGGTGCTGAGGATCGAACCCGGGCCGCACGCATGCCAGGCGAGCGCGCTACCGCTTGAGCCACATCCCCAGCCCTGGGAATGTGTCTTTAATGATTAATTATCAGAAATTTCTTGGTATATACTTTCTTCTTTTACACTACAACTTTAAATAAAAATAGTTCCTTTTCATCAGTAACTGAGGCTACTGTCAATATTTTTCCTGTCTTGGTCTTCATATAAATTTTTGCTTAAGGCTTAATTTCTTACTCTCTGTTAAGGAAGATCTGACAGTAAAATGCCCTTCTTTTGCATAGGGTTAAGAGGTAGAAACCCAATGGAAGTTTTATCAGAGGAATCATAACTTTATTCCCATTAGAATGAAAAAAGATTCCAAAGGATCTTGAAATTTCTAGTATGTCAAATTTAAAGATGTTTGGGTTAACTTCAAGCTTTATGTATTGACTTAGAATCCACTGGAATAATTTCTGTTCAAAAAATTATATAATGATGAAACAATGAAAATCTTTTCTATTAATCATGGTACTGAGTTGTCATGTCATTAAGAACCAAAAGACTAGGGCTGGGGTTGTAGCTCAGTGATAGAGTGCTCACCTAGTACATATGAGGCACTGAGTTCAATTCTCAGCACTACATAAAAATAAACAAATAAAATAAAGGTATTGTGTACATCTACAACTAAAAAAATATTTTTAAAAAAATAACCAAAGACCTGTTTTAAAGTTGTTGGCAATAATTCATTAATATGTGCAGCAGAGAATTTTTGCAAACTTCTGTTCACAAGAAAAGGATCACTTATAGAAATAAGAAATAAAGAAAAACCTAGTAGCACCCATTTTTGAAAATCATATTTTTCTCGTCTTATAATACAATCAATCTGTCAGGCTGTTTCTCAGTATAATGGCTTTAGCCTAACTCAAAGTAATTTTCTTACTTGCAATTGAATGTCCTTCGATGGTGTGGAAGAGGTTGACTTTTTTCTGTTTGCTACTAAAATTTTTTTACTACTAAAAATCATTCTCCATCATTTACTGTCACCATCTAATCAAGCTGGCAACCTATGCTGGATTCACAAAATCTGATTACATCAGTAACTGAGAAAACGGGGAAGAAAGCATACAAGCACACAAAAATACCTTTTCAAAATCCAGGAGGGCTCTAGACCCTAGGGGTCTGTTAGAAAGAGAGAGAGTCACCTGAATTCTTTATTTTTATATGGGGAGACACACAAAGGGAGGTTAGATGGAATGTTCTTTCCAAATAAGGCGAAGGGTCAGGGTTGAGTCTAGTTTCGTGGTATCTTGTGGTCAATAGATTGATTGACATCTGGGCAAGTCACACCCATTTCAGGTGCTGTGTGGCATCAAAAGGCAGAGCAAGAGAAAAGGACACATACGTGCACAGCCCAGACAGAGCAGCATCATCAGTCCAGTCCACTCATGCACTCAGAATGCTCACAGCTCACACACACAGCCCAGGCTGGCTCACGACAATTTACCACAGAATAAACTATCATTGAGTCTTTTTTTCGAACCTGCCTAAATTCATCTTGCCACTTTGTGAGTTCAAACGTGATTTGTAGTAGGGCCTTGAATAGTAAACAGCATATCATTACAACTAAAGGAAGTTTCAGGTGATTAAAAAAAATTTTTTTAAACAAATACTGCTTATTGAAAATCATAAGTTAAAAGTAATCTTTTAATATAATCAGAAAATTATGATGACTTTAAAGACCAATGTTTACAGGCAATAATAAGAACAAAAATAAATTAGATTACATCTAAGTTTAAAACTGGGGCTGGGGTGTAACTCAATGATAAAGTACTTGCTCAACATGCTTAAGTTCCTGGGTTTAATCCCTAGTATTAAAGGAAAAAGAAAAGATTTAATAAAACTTTTATAAAAGGACAGAGTCAACAGAAAGAAAAGGTAACCCATAGAATGCAAGAAAATATTTGCAAATCATACAGCTGATAAGGGGTTAATATCCAAAAATATATAAAGATCTCTTAAAATTCAACAATAACTAATCAATGTTGGCTCAGGTTGCTATAGCAAAATGTCTAGACTGGGTGGCTTTAAACAACAGATATTTATTTCTCATAGTTCTGGAACCTGGGAAGTTCAAGATCAAAGTGCTGGCAGATTCACCAGTTCTCTGGTGAGAGCTCTCTTCCTGGCTTGCAACAGCCACCTTCTTTCAGTGTCCTCAATGGCAGAAAGAGAGAACTCTGGTCTCTTCCTCAAATAAGGACACTAATCCCATTATAGGTGGCCTGCTCTCATGACCTCATCTAATCCTAATTACTTCCCCAAAGGCCCCATCTCTGAATTCTATCACATTGAAGATTAAGACCTCAACATATGAATTTGGGGGAGTGGGAATACAAACATTCAGGCTGTAACTTTTTACCATGAAACCATAACATAAGTTCCACTTTCCATCCCTGGGCCCATAAATTCATTTCCTTCTCACATGCAAGATATATCCATTCTGCTGGGTGTGGAGGCACCTGCCTGTAATCCCCACATTTGAGTTGCTGAGGCAGGAGGATCAAGAGTTTGAAGCTAGTCTAAGCAACTTAGTGAGGCTCTAAGCAACTTAGTGAGGCCCTGCCTTAAAATAAAGAATAAAAAGGGCTGTGATGTGACTCCCTGGGATCAATCCCTGGAACCCCCCCCAAAAAAAATTCTTCTTCCTACATCCCCAAAATCTTAACATGTTCTAGCATTAATTCCAAAGTCTAAAGTCCAAAATTTTATCTAAATATGAATAAGACCAGATATGATTCATCTTGAACCAAACTCTATCTCTATCAATTAATCTGGCTTTGAGTAAAAATTTTCCTATACTGAAGAAATGTTCCAAAATACATTGGTGGCACAGGCATAAGATACATGTTTTCATTCTGAAAGGGGGAAATCAAAAGGAAGGTAGGAGTGTTGTGTCCTAAATAAGTCCAACACTTAGCAAGGTAAATTCCATTAGGTCTTAAAACTTGAGAATAATCCTATTTCATTTGAGGCTCTGTTCTCCATATCCATGGAATGGCCCAGTTTCTCAACTCTGCTGGGTGTGGTCCCATACTTTCAAATTGAGGTAGAGGCAGCTTTACTTCCCCAAGCCCCAGCAAACTTACTCCCTAAATCCCACACTGGGCCTGGGGTGGGAGTAGCAGCCCTGATTACCTCTGAATTGCTTTAGGGGTTCTTCCCTTTTTTGGAAGGGAGAGGAATATTCACAGCTTTCCTTCATTACGTCTCATTTTCTGTTTCCTTTAGTTCCAGCTGATAGTGTTTCTGCTTACATAATATCATATGTCTCCTGTCTTTTATTAAGAGGGATGACGAGTCACTCATATTCACCTCCTTATCAAATGGTATATCAGCCACATCTTTGGTGTTCTCCAAATAGTTTCTCATTTTTTGAAATATAGTCAAACTGATAGAATCTAAGTTTTGGTTCCTTTTTGTTTAACAATTTCTTCTTCATTTCTCTCTTCTTGAATTTTACTATAAACATTCAAAAAGAAGTACTCCTTTAGCACTTTACTTAGAAATCCTTTAAGCTAAATATCCAATTCTGTTGCTCCTAAGTTCTACTTTCCATGAAACACTAGAAAACAAACACAATTCAGCCAAGTTATTTGCCAGTTTATAACAAGGATCACCTTTTCTCCAGTGTCCTCGAATGGGCTTTTCCATCCATGTGTCTGCCAATATTCTGTTCATGATTTATTTATGTCATTAAGAAGATAGAAATATTCTCTCTAGCTCTCTTTTGTTCTTTCTGAGCCCTTAAGACAGATCCTTCATAGTATCTTGTTTTGTTTTTCTAGTGTGCATCTTAGAACTCTTCCAGCCTCTATCCATTACCCAGTTTCAAAGGCACTTCCTACTTTTTTAAGGTATTGTTATAGCAGTACTCCACTTCTCAGTACCAAAATCTTTATTAGTCAGAATTCTCCAAGGAAATCAGACCAATAGCAGATGTGTTTGTGTGGGGTGGGGGAGGGAGAGGAGAGAGAGGGAGAGAGAGAGAGAGGGAGAAAGGGAGAAAGGGAGAAAGGGAAAGGCAGGCAGGGTATGTGTGTGTGGGGAGGGTGGAGGGTGAGATTTATTAAAAGAAAGTGGCTTTACATGGTCATGGAAAGTGAAAAGTACCAAGATCTGCACATTAGAGATGCAGGAAAACTAATTGTATAATTTCAGTCCAAGTCCAAAGGCCTAAGAATCAGGACAGCCAATAATGTAAGTTCCAGTCTTAGTCTGAGTCCAAAAGCAGAAAACCAGTGTTTCCACTCAAATCCTGTCAGGCAAAGAGAATTATTTGTTACTCAGCCTTTTGTTCTATTCAAATCTTCAGTGGCTTGAGTGAGGCCTACCTACATTGGGAAGAGAAATCTACTTCATTGTGTCTAAGTCAAATGTTTAATATCATCTAGAAACACTTTCACAGTCAGAATAATGTTTAACCA